CAACCCCAACCAGGCGCCGACGCAGTAATCCACACCCTAGCAATAATGAACTTCTCCCCTAACGGCCCAACCCCCGAGGAAACAATAACCTCAAACGTGAACGCAACCCTCTCCATCCTCCGCTCCGCAGCCCGCTTCGCCGCTCCCTCGGACTCTCCAGACAAGCCCGGCGTGAAACGCTTCATCTACACCTCCTCCTCAGGCTCAGCCGCCATGCCACGCCCGGGAGAACCCTACACCGTAGACGCGACCTCGTACAACCACCAGGCCGTCGCCATCGCCCTCTCTGGAAAGGGGCCCAAGGGCATGGCGGGCGGGTACATCACCTACTCCGCCGCAAAGACCAGGGCCGAGCTGGAGTTGTGGAAGTGGTATGAGGAGGAGAAGCCTCAGTTCGTCTTGAATTCGAGTATGTTCATTGATATACTCTCTTTTCTTTCTGTATCCAATTCCCATCTTTCTACTCTTCATATCTCCTTGTCCTCCTCTTTCACCTCCCCAGGCCTAACATGAATAATCGATAGTCGTGCCCAATGCCGCCCTAGGCAAGGTCCTCCTTCCGGAATACCAAGGCTTTCCCACTGCCGTTGGCGCAATGCGACCTCTTTGGCAGGGAAACGTCACGCCCGAGTTCGTCGCAATGTTCCCAGCTCGTAAGTACACGATCCCCTCCTGCTGCTCTAACCTGCTTCACTCGAAATACTTAAACAACCATAAACCCCACCCTCCGCATCCCATATTAACCTCTCCCAGAATGGTACTGCGATGTCATCGATATAGCTCGAATCCACATTGCAGCACTCCTCCTCCCAGACATCCAATCCGAACGCCTCATTGCCTACGCGGGCAAGTTCAACATCAACGACCTCCTCGCCGCCTTCCGCCAAATCCAACCAGACCGAACCTTCCCTGACGACCTTCCCGATCTCCCCTCCGATAAGGGCACTATTGCCAACGAAAGAGCCACTCAGCTGATGGAATGTCTTCAGGGTGGCAAGGGCTGGACGAGTTTGAAAGATTGCCTGGCACCGTTGGCTGAGCAGTATGCAGCGGCTGAGGCGGAATCAAAGTGATACCGAAACGAAGTCAAAGGCGAATGGACACATGGACGAGCTTCACCGGGTCGTATCTTGGAGAACTCAAAAGCCTTTCAATTGTCCTTGGGGTACTGTCGGACTGCCGCTTGGCTGTCTCATCAGCCCAATGGAATGTTGTATATCTACAAGTCGCGCTGAAGCCAACCTCCGATGCTAGGCTTGGAAAGTTGAAAGGCATCGTGTCGTAAAGTGAAATTGGTATCAGAGAAAGAAATTTACATCACGATCTATCGGCAAAGTTAGCAGTGCTTTCATCAACAACAGTGCGGCTTCACTTACGCAGTCAGACTCATCCTTCCCCTTAGGAATGCCCATCGCCTCGAAGGTGGCAGGTCCCTGGCCTGTCGCTTGCTTCTTGGGAGGGGGCATAGTCTGAGCACTAGGAGCAGGGCTGGGTTGCTGCTGTGGGCGCGGCTGAGATGAGGGCGGCGCACTGCCCGTTCGACCCGGCTGATCGGCAAGGTCTGGTCGGTTGGGGAAAGGCCGGGGCTGACCCGCCGGTCCAGGACCGGGACGCGGTTGGCCTGAAGGGCTAAGCGGCATCGAGTCAATCCGCTGAGGTGCCGCTCCTCGTCCGTATCCATACTGAGCATCAGGGGGGATGGATGATGTTCGCTGGCCAAAGTTACCAGCTTGAGCAGGCGGCGGCGTAGGCTGACCGTAGTCGCTCGGGCCATAGCTTCCCTGCTGCGGAGGGTACGGGCTTTGCTTGGGCGGCCTGTTCGCGGCTGGGTTGGGAGGAAGGCCACCTGCCGCTGGGTATGGTTGGCCGGGTGGCCGCGCGGCGGGACCAGGGCTCGGTTGGCGATATCCTGCAGGTCCTCCGACAGGCACACGACCGCGCGGGTCCGAACCGGCCGGCGGAATCATGTTGCCCATTGACTGTGAAGCGCGAATGTTGCCTGCAGGTCCCGGAGGACCACCGGGACCGGTACGAATGCCAAATGCACTACCGGGGCGATCGGAGTGCGGGCCAGAGACAGGACGACCACCACCGTAGTGAGGGGAGAGCTGAGGTCCAGCGCCCCTGCCACCGCCGCCGCCGCCGTGATGCATTTCATCCTCGGGATACGGTGCCGTTGATTTCGGTCTGTTCAGGTTGAGCGGAGCAGGGCGATCGTCTTCTGGGTATGGAGCAGCCGACTTGGGCCGGATTGCAAGGTTGGAGTCGAGATTAACGGTGAATGCGGCTGGCCTGTTGCCCATGCTGTTGGGTCGTGACGGGTCAGGGTAGTCAACGGTGTCGTGCGGCGCCGAGCTAGGGTGCACTCTGGGCGACGGGTGAGGAGATGTCTTAGCAGACGTAGACGGGTAGCCGGGGTGGGCATCGGTCGGGGTGACCGGCGTGCTCTCGGAAACAGTCGGCATGGTATTCGGCTGCTTGAAGCGATCAGGCCTCTTGCCGCGCTGCGAGCCATGCTGCGACTTGATTCTTGTCAGCGTCGTGGTTTCGTGGTCGGCCTTGGTCAGACTCTTCTCGTGATCCAAGGCATCGATTCGGCCTCTGGCGTCCTTGTTGCCATGGTCAGCGGCCGCTTCGTACCAGAATCTGGCTTGGCGGAGATCCTTGGGCACATGAACGCCAATCTCGTAGTAGTATCCCATGGCAAATTCTCCAGTCGGCAGCTTGGCGTTGGCAGCATCTTGAGCGTACTTGAAGGCCAGCTGTTCATTCTTATTGAAAATGCCCTCGTATCCGAACAGGAACCATCTGCTCACACCGAGCGACGCCTCGGGCTGTCCTTGCTGGGCGGCCAGTCCGTAGTAATGCAGCGAGTACGCTGGGTTAAAGTCGCATCCGAGCTGGCATAGCTCGTAGGCCTGACCAATCTTCAACTGAGCCTTGGCGAAGCCAAGGTAAGCGGCTTTCTCGATATACATCTTGGCCTGGTGCAGGTCCGTCTGAAGCAGAGCCTCCGGAATATCAATGTCAGGAAGGTCCCTGGCGAGGAGCATCCCATAGACATATGACCCTTGCGGCGCATCCTCGTCCGAGAGGTCAGCGGCCTCCCTAATAAGGTCTAGACCTCGTTGGTAGTCTTTCTGGTGGTTGTGCTGGCCGAGCAGACTCATCATGCCCAAGCGGTACATAGCGGCCGAGTCTTTGAGTCGCAGACCGAGGTAGTAGTGCTCAACGGCTTTGCTGTAGTCGTTCGAGTTCTCAAACAGCATGCCCAGACGATACTCCGCACGCGCGTAGCCAAGCTCTGCCGCGCGCTGGTACTTTGTGTACGCATCTCTCTTGTCAGGTCTGCAGCCAAACTTTCCAAACTCGAGCCACTTTGCTTTCATAAAGAGTGCCTCGGGATGTTCCTGGCCCACCAAATAGTTGACAATGTTGATTGCGTCGACGCGCAGCTCGTGCTCGACGTTTGGTGTCTGGCGGCCACTCTCTGGGTCTCGGCTTCTGGCATCCATAACAATCTCAGCCCAAGCTAAGGTGTCGCGAGCCCATGACAGCTGCATAGAAACATTATTCGAGTGCAGGACATGCTCGCGGGCGTTCCACAAAATCGTTTCCTTTTCCTCGTCCGTCGGGGGGACGTTGTCCCCTGTGAGCTTTGGGAAAGGAGAGAACGAGGGCGCCGCGCTGGGCCGCATCTTATGAGGGTTGTCGCTCGCGCTGTTCTCGTGGAAGGGTCTGTAGGAATCGGTCGGGGGTGCGCCGGCTTGGGCGTCGGATCCTCCTTTCGGCGGCAGCGAGGGCGCACCAGAATCGGTTGGCTTGAGAACAGAGGACAGGGACGGCTCACGACCGTGTCGGTTGGTAACGTTGTTGCTGGAGACGGCTGCTCGGTTCGGGGAGACTTCGCGGGCTTCAAGTTCCATGCGCTGAAGGTCGTTTTGCATGTTCTGGGGGACCTGAGGCGTTACACTGGAGGAGAGGTGCGGTCAGCATAAGGCTATCGGGTTAGGAAAAGGGACGGAACAAAGACAACGAGCGGCGCCAAAAACGGCCCCATCTCCAGTTCCAGCCAGCGGGAAAGGAGGGACCCATGGTCGATCCGCCAAGATTAAAATGAGGGAATACGCGTACCGTTGAGGAGCAGGTGCAATGACCTCGGGCATGTAGTAGTCATCGAACCCTCCAGGAACGAAGGTTGCGCCGAATTGTGGCATATCGTCGGTTGTGTTTTTGGGCTGAGGTGCACCTGCATAAATAGGAGGATATCAGTCAGCGGGGGTTGAGTCGAATGACGTTTAGGTTGGAGCCACCGCCAGCTTTTTTCTGTGTGGTGGTCTCTTTGCTGACAGTTGGGCCGGTCGCCTTCTGGAGCCCCCGGAAAAAGGAGCTGCTGCTGCTGCTGCTGGCTGCTGCTTTTCGTCGGGCTGATCTGCTTCTCAAGTACGCCCGGCAAGGGTACGGGAGGGGAAAGTAATCCTGAGTGGGGTGGGATTTGGCGAAGAAAAAAGTAGGTAATCAAAAACGGTCAATAAAAGCTGAGCTGATGTCGGAATGGGCTTGAGAGAATATCCAAGTCCTTGGGTCCTCTTATGAACTGTATCTGCCTTCACTTGCTCTCTTGTCTCGAACCGCAGGGCGAGGATGTCCGGAAGCGGGGTGGAGAGTCCAGGTCGAAGCTCAAAGCATCTGGGATTCTCGACGGCGGGCCCTTTCTTTTTAGCGTGCAGAAAGAGCTGAGTGTCCCCTTTTCTCTTGTGTGCGCGAGCCGGCTAGTGAAACATGGGAGCAGCTTCGGATAGGCGTGCCAGGTGCCAATGTTGCATTTCTCTCTCGGGCCAGGAGTGAGGGGGGAACTCCCTTCTGTTTGTCCCATCGCCCAGAAAGCGGGACTGACCAGGGAAGTTATACCAGGAGGAGGAGGAGGAGGGGTCATTGGTCTCGTCGCAAGTCGTCGAGTGTGCCCATGGTACTCCACCGCCCAAGCCGCAGCACGGGCGCTAGCTCGCTGTGGCAGCAGAGGGAACGGATGAGCTGAAGAGCAACAAGCCTTTGTCTTTTTTAGTGCTCGTGGTCATGGCCATGCTGATGTCAAGATGTCGCTGTGCAGCTCCTTGCTGCGGCTTCGAGAATCGACAGGTACTTCGTCTGTACTTTCCGGGTTGAACAGTGGGCGGAGCAGGGGGTGGGCTGGTCTCGAGGATCAGGTACCGAAAGGTAATCGAGGGGGGCCGCTCCAGGATGAGGCATGTAAGACGTTCAATAAGCGTTGGAGACCTCTCGTTTTGACGGCCGTCCATTCCGTCAGTGACTAGGATATGTCATCTGACCAGCATGAACAGACGGCGTGGCAGTGGCAGCCCGTGGCCATCCGAAGACAGAGAGCAAGTGTGGTTGAATGCAGAGGAGTGCTCTGGAATTCTGACATGTGCACATGGCACCCAGGAAGCGCAAAGATGTCAAGTCCTTGCGCGCTGGACTGTACGTATTTCGCTTGGCTATGGCAGACGCATGGAACCGTGGTGTTGGTAGGCAGAGGAGAGTAGGTACTCCGTAGAGGAGCAGCAGCAGCAGATTTCCGGTTCGGGGGTCATTCGGGCTCCCGGCTTGATAAATGAGGCGGTCTCCACGAAAGGGAGATGGAAGAGGGCAAAGGAGGGAGATGAAACTTACCAAGGGCTTTTCCCAGATGAAAACCAACTTGCCCATGTCCTCCTCCTTGTGAAAGCTGTACCTGACCCTCGGAGATGGAATGTGGTCCAGACACAGCGGCTGTTCCACCGCGACTGGCGCTTCTAGTGCCGCGGCCGTTGTAGGGTGGGCCTCGCACGGCACCCGGCGCATGTCCCTGGCCAAGCCGCGCGTACATCGCCCATCGGGCTTTGCACCTTTCGAAGGGTGTCATACCCTTTGAGTACGGATACCAGATATTGTGTTCTCGAATGACAGCAGGGGTTTTCGTTTGGTAAGGTAATGAGAGTTCGGCCGAATCAAGCTAGAACAGAGTTGGGAGGAACCCGCGGGATCGAGTGGCGCATACCGGGACGGGTGAACGAATGTCGAAACACTGTTGGCGAAGGAGGCTCGTGAATCTGGGTATCGATGCTCCGGAATGCGAGATGGATAGCTCGGTCGATGTGGTAAGGTAGGAAGAATCGCTTGACGAGAACGCCAAGCGATAAAATCTGGATGAGGTGGGCGGAAAAATGATATCAGGTGTGAGGTTGAAGAAGAAGTCTGATGTAGTGAGGTTGAAGGCTTCCATTGAGAAGATATTATTTTTCCTGAAGCAGAAGCAGAAAGAGCAGGAGCTTCACCATCGCGCTTTCCAGCCTCCTGCCGTGTTTTTTTTCTGTCTTTTTTACCAAATTACGGGAAATAAGGCCCAAAGAGTCGGTCGGTCCTGCCTCACATGGCCTCGCTTGCTACCCGTCCCGTTCTACTGTACAACAACTCGATAGAAAACTGGAAGGCGCGCTGGATGTTTCCTGGCTCCTTCCCAAGGCACCTTAATTAGATGCGACGCGGCAACATGCACGGAGAGCAACAAAACGGGACGATGCATCTGGCCGAGACGAAGCAGCCAATGATTCTCACCATCTCAGTAATTCAAGGTTCAGATTGGCATTAGAAGACGTGATGTCGCGACACAGACAAGGCGGCAGCGTTGCGCTGCAGTCAATCCCTCCAAATCCACCACCTCATCGGGTACGTTTACTGCGTAAGGGCCTTTGGTGGCTGCTTGCTGGTGCAGAACACCCCGCCCCCATGTCCTGCGCCTGTAAGGGAGAAGAAACCCATGAAGGAATTCCAGTAAGGCATTGGATGGATCGCTGGAGCCCACGCCACTGTCCGACCGTTGACCCCAGAGGCCCCTCTCAATCTCACAATCGAAGGCACCTGTTTTCATCCATTGCATTCCATTGTGCCCCATTATCCGTACTCAATACGGTCATTTCATTTTTCATGCTTCTTCTTATGAGATTCCGTGTAAACTGCACTGACCACCATCGTGATATGTCACTCCATCCCCCTCTCGTCTCACTATGAAAAGATGAGAATGATCCTGTAAATTCCCATGAGAAACTCACTCTCCAAGCCTAACCAATCACTTGCGGTCCGGGTGTTGGTTGGCAATGAATGACATTCACACCACAAAGTCCCAAAACTCAATCAAAGGTCATCCACTCGGGTATCTCGCGTTTCCCTGCGCAGCCCGCTTTGCTCAGCCACAATGTCAAATTCGAGATTGTCTTTTTTGCTCAGTTTCCAAACATAGAAACAGACCCTTGCTGCTTGCATTTCTCGAGTGACCAACGAGTGACTTTGCATACCTTACCTACCGCAGCTGCCCGTCCCGTCCTTTGGGGGCCAAGTCCCCGATCGCAATCGGAATCGCTTGTCTCGTTATCGTTCATTCCACTGCTTGGCGGCAGCTTCATGAGCGATATGAATTTGCATCGGTTTGTGCGAGTCTGAACGACTAAAATTGAAATGAAAAGGGATATAAGACAAAACTCATTCGAACTCATAGCTTTCAAAATAATGACACTATTCCGACGTGTATTCGGGTACATTTAAAAGGAATACAGGTCACCTGACAACATCAACCGTCACCAGAATTAATTACTATGGAAGGAAATGCAAAGACAAAAAAAAGAAAGAAAGAAAAAAAAAAAGAAAAAAAAAAGACAAGCGATCCATGGCATCATGTAGGACCGTGAGCCAACATACGCTTCCAACATCAAGGCTGGAATCGTACCGCTCAGCCATCGACTACAACGGACGGTGCTTGTTGAGAATACTCGCATCTTTGCTCAGTATATACCTATCAGCGCTCACGATGTGAAGGTCGGTTATTGATAAGAGGGCTCAAACTCCGAATTCATAGTCTTCCAGTCTACCATAAAATCGCATCCTCAATCCTTTAATATCTAAATGCGTGTAGATGCACTCCAGTCAGGATCATCGCAGTACCAACTCAATCCCCCTCAACCCCCCTTCTTCCATGCCGGCAGCGACTCCTCATGATTTATTCCATGAATTCCTGCTTGGCGCTCCGAATTTCCCCAAACCCACGTCATAGATGCCACAACGGCCATCATCCGATCCAACCCGTCCCATCTTTTCACCCAAAAGTAACCATCCTTTACCAGGCCATGCCCTGTTCACCAAGCCTTTGAGTGTAACCTTACGCAAGTAGACTCCAGAGCCGACACTCAACAGCATACTTCATCGCCGGCGCTATTCGGCGAGACGAGACGAGACGAACGATCTCTGGCTGCAGTGTGGAAGCATCACGCTAACAAGAAATCTCCAATATTCCTAAACTCCATCTGCCCACCCATCGACACGTGTTTATTCTGCACTTTGCTTCTCCGGAACTATGTTTCTTTTTTTCTGCTGCTGCTGCCCGTTAGAAACGATTTAGCCGCGCGTATACCTAACGCCATCGACTTCAAAGGCTCATGTGTCACTAGCGCCTAGGATTCGGCTCCCGACGGGCGGTTTGCGGCAGATCGACACTTTTAAACCAATCTTAACCCACACATGCATACTATTTCCATGTTCTATTCGCCTATCACTTATCATAGTCACCTTCCCCCGCTGACCACGCGTTCTTCATGCATCCTGGGGCCGAAAGATTATTGTCCCCGGCATTACTCAGCGCGAAGTCTTAGAACGGGGTTGCTGTGATGTTATTTTCAACATCGTGTAAGCGTCTTCTTTTGCAGTACACGGCTTCACCTGTTGGGTCGGTACCATGCCGGCATAATCACTTGACAAGGACGGGCAAGAGGCTCTCATTACATTACATGTCACAACAACTCAGACAAGCAAGGGGGGCCGCAACTCCCGTACCAGCATTTAGAGTTAACATATTAGAGGTAATTAATCAGGGGTGTCGTCCTATTGGTCGCCGACGACACTCTTCTTCCAATCTTCCTTGCCTATGATGACCATCTCACGAAGCTACGTATCAGTCGCCATCACACACGAATTATCCAGGCCGAAGACATTTAAAGATGACAACGAGGTGTACTGCTAGATATTTCTTTCGCTTATCCTCTCAAGTCTTGAATGGGGCCATTCGAATTGAAGAAGAAACCAATTTATTGTCTTGACTGCAAATCTCAAGTAAGAGATTCGATTCCTCCATGGTCTTTCTTTGAATACGGTTGAAGGTTATAGTCTATTCAGGACCAGACCCTGGATCCATTTCCCTGCTGCTAGTCCAGCCCTTCTCAAACTTGCAGACCATACTGGTAGAACCCCCACAGCCTATTCAAACGTCCGCCCAGAGACTACCAAAGACCAAAAGAATGCTCCTCTAAGAACCGTTGGAACCACCACCATTGTTACCACCCTTCCCAACACCACTAACAACGCAGTGTCCAAGAGACGGATCGCACTGCCTCTGCGGCGACCTGCGCCCGAACCCGCCGCTAACCCGCTCGGCCTCGTCCTCAGCCTCGACCTCGAGCGCATCGAGGTCGCGGGCGGCAACGGCGGAGTGCGAGGCGTCGACTTTATCCTCGGCGATGACGTCCCCGAGCTGGAGGTCGTCGCCCTCGTGCTCCGCGAGGAAGAAAGTGTTTGCGGGCTGGGCGCCGTCGCAGCTGGCTTGGGCGACGACTTTTCCCCCCGTGTCGGTGCAGTAGACTTTTGCTTCGGCTGAGGCGGCGAAGAAGGCGGCCGCCGCGATTTGGATGGTGGGGAGGGTGATGTGTTGGGTCTTCATTGTGGATGTTTTTTTGAAGTTGTTTGTTTTTGGGGTAGGTGGAAAGGGGTTGCAGTTGTTGTACCTGGAGAAAGCGAAGATGGTTTGGAAGATTGTTTGTGATCAGAGAGATGGTTGTTAAAAGAGTTGAGTGCGTGATGATGATAAAAAGAAGGCATCCATTACAGGATCAAGGCCTCCTATTTATGTCATTCGAACGGACGCCCGTGATGGATGGTATGGTGAGAGCCTTCTCATTACCCATACGGGTAACAGGTTGCGGCGCAAAGGATCGGCCACGCCGTAGGCAGACTTGGCATTCTCATGATTCCCCGATTGTGCCTCACCGTCTTCTGACTCAATCATTTCCGAGATCAAGAACTTTGAACGGCAAGATTTCTATCTTGCTTTGCCCATGTCGTGAAGCAGTTTGCCAAGGTTCCCTTCACAAACGAGCCCGATAATCGCCATCATCATGGCTCTACCGTATACAAGGTAAGCTTGAGAATGACTTAACTTGGGTAAACGGGCGTATCTCTTTCACGCGGACGAAGTTGTCAGGGTTGTTTCTTTGAATTCCGGCAGCGTTCGGCCATCTCGAGACGCCGAGTTTTCAAGGATGTTTCCAGACCTATCTACTCTGGGGGATTTCTTTCAAAATGTCGCCGTAAGAACAAGGAGGCCTTGGTTCTGTCGTATGTTCAAAATCAAGGAACAACGTTATGCCAGTCATAATTGATACTGCCTTACGAATCCACCCGGTTTCTCGGTTCGCCTTACAAGCTCACTTACACAAGGCCACCCTGATAGCAAGGTACCAGTCTCCTTCCACAATGTCTACCACGTGTTTCAATAAGTCGTAGTAATGCCTCAATGAGTAATCTGAGTAGGGACCATGATCGCCGAGTTGAGAGCTGCTGTCCGGAGTAACCCGTGTTTCAAAGGGTTGTAGATCGCGTTGGCTCGGCTTGAACCGATGATACTCCGACGCTTCAACGGAAGAAATGTTCACCACTGCCTACTCGCCTTAGAGACTTATCATCTTTCGCTCTCGCCCCACTCAACTCAAGTCATTCACCAATTTAGCAAGTCATTATCATGATAATCCAAAGTCGGCGATTGATTCAAAGCCACGAAAGTAGGAATTCCCGAGTTTTGAGAAGTTGCCGTGTTTCATTGACTGTAGAGTCCAGACCGTTAAGACACTGGCATCTTACTGTAACAAAACAAGCTTCCGCTAAACTTTTGATAGCCGCCGGGGGTCCTACCTACATTCTTGTCTCTTGCGGCAAACATTTCCGGTATCCCCACGCAAATATAGATCTTAGCGGGGTTTCTGTAGAGTCATCCTGTACGATGCTCTTTGCATGCAACGACTCAAGTATCGCGAAACGCATTTCCGAACAGGTCAATGTGATTGGCTTAAACTGCCAATAGACTCAATTGCTCAGAAATCTTCAGTTTGACAAACAGAGTAGGTAATGAGAATGTTGAAAATGCGAGAGCCAACCTTTGCGGCAGGTGTTCCCGGGCCATCATGCCGTGATTCGATTGCTAGAGACTCAATGGCTTCTTGCTTTTGAGGCCCTCAACCAACACCAGATTATGGGCGTCAAATGACTACATCCATTAACTAAAAGCCACACGACTACAAGCAACCGCCATCGCGGTGAAGCCGAGGTGGGCACGTGGTTGTCAACCAAGATCGCCACTGGGTTGTGTGCAACGCCAAGACCAAAGAGGTTTGCAGAATCAATAGCAATTCTCACCAAATCTATTCAAATACGACAGGCGAGCAGATCATTTTGTTTTTCCTGACTCGCCGACCCAAGGTGCCGGTAGCCCACATGGGTTGCGTTACTCATGAATCGTTTGAATAATACAGCGAACCAACGTGCGTGTCGCGACTTACACAGCTTATATTGCGCATATAGACAGAAAAGGCTAGAGATTAGTGCGCGGTGTCCGTGAGTTGCGGTTTCATCTTCTTGTTAGTGTGCAACCCTTATTGTAATACGGTTAAGCGGCAACGTGTCTTTGGGGGCAGAAAGAAAGAGAGAGGGAGTAGATCATAATAGGATCCTGAGGAGACGTCAAAGCTTCTAGAAAGCCTCGTTTGAATTAGACTTCTTCTAGCGGCAAACTTAACTGGAGACATTTCCCATCCGTCCATAAAACCCCAACTCAAAATAAGTGTCCGCAGGATCGGGACAATCAGAAAGGTGTCCGTATCAGAATTCAGGGTGTTGTAGATTAGGGGTGATCCCCGCCTCATCCGAACCTTGAGTAGGCCTGGCGACTACCCGAGGGCAGACCTGCTGGTGAATAAGTATGTGAGACTGCCCTTTGGGGCAGCGGCCAAGCATCGTCGTGTCTGTCTTTTGAGTTCCTTGTTCTATCCCACTCTTGCTGGCTTTCTAACGCCCATACTCCACCACCTTCCTTCTTAACTCATTCTGAACCAAAAGAACAACAAAGATGCGCCGTGTTCCAGTACAAAAGAGGCCAAATGCCACCCGCCTGGTCCAAAGCCAAGGCCTCGTCTTCGCCGACCTCGTGGCCCCCGGCGCCTCAGAGCCGTACTGGCCAGACGACCGCTACTATTCCTTCACCGAAAAGGAGATGAACCTCCTCGAGGAAGCTGCCAGAGACGTGTTCGCAATGTGCTGCGAAGCAGCAGACTACCTCGTAGAGCACCCAGACATCATCACCAAGAAAATGGCCGTCCCCGCCTTCGCCCTAAAACAGATAAAGGCCACGTGGGACCGCGAACCGGCATGGGGCAGCATCTACGGCCGCTTCGACATCTGCTTCGGCGGTCTCGAGCACCCGGACCCGCGGCTGCGCGTGCCCAAATTCTACGAGTTCAACGCCGACACGCCGACGTCGCTGCTCGAAGCGGCGTCGATTCAGTGGCTGTGGATGGAGCAGACGGGCCACGGTAATGACCAGTTCAACAGCATTACGGAGAAGCTCATTGAAGGGTGGAAGCGCAACATGACGCTCGTCGAGAAGGAGCTGGGACATAAGCCAACCGTCCACTTCGCCGTCGGCGAGGGCGAGGCTACGGGGGAGGATGCGATGAACACCATGCTCCTGATGGAGACGTGCCAGCAGGCCGGGTGGACGACCAAGGCGCTGACGATGGAGGAGATTGCAAAGTCCAAAAAGGACGGGCGGTTCTACGATGCGCAGGGGGAGCATATCGACGTCATCTTCAAGCTCTACCCGTGGGAGTACATGGTCGACCAGCAGTTTGGCGAGGCGTGTTTCGAGGACATGGAGAACATTGGCAAGCGCGACGAGGAAGGGAACTACATCGGAGGAACAGTCTGGATCGAGCCGCCATACAAGCTCCTCTGGAGCAACAAGGCTGTCTTTGCCGTTCTCTGGGACATGTTCAAGGACGACCCCCGGGGCAAGTGGCTTCTCCCCACGTACTTTGACAACGAGGCGCCGGCGTCCATGACGAGTTTTGCGCGCAAGCCCATCTTTGCGCGCGAGGGCGCCGACGTGGTTCTCAAGAAGGACGGCGAGATTCTCCAGGACGCGTCGACGGGAGACTACGGCGCGGAAGGGTACATTGTGCAGGAGCTTGCTGTGCTGCCCGAGTTCAAGGACGCCAAGGGCAGCTCGTGGTATCCCGTGCTGGGTATGTGGTTCGTCGACGGCGATCCGGTGGGCATGGGAATCCGGGAGGATGGCACGCCCATCACCACCAACGCGTCCGTGTTCATCCCGCATTCAATTGAGGATGGACCCGTCAACTACATGAGGCAGAAGATTCCCGACCAGGAGGAGATTGAGAACCTGTTGCGGGTCGAGCCGTTCTTTGATTCATTTGATAAGGAAGAGAATGAGATGATGAGCTATATCAAGAAGATTGTAATTTCTTAGCGGGTTTACTCTGGGGGCGAGTGTCCTTTCGGCGTGTTGTTTTTGGGAGGAGCTCGATATCTACTTTAGCGGGAATGGAATCGAGAAAATGCAGTTCCTAATGACTTTGATAATCGCCTTCTGATGATTAAGGATATGCATGAGAGTATAGCACGGCACTTGGAACTCCGATTTCAATGAGCATGCCGAAACTCAGAAGTTGCGAACCAAAGTCCCGCGAGTGCAGTCATTGCCCAGAGAGAGTTCGCCATGAGTGCCGAGACAGGTCAAGCCCGGAGTCCATGCGAATACCTTCCGCTTGCGAGTTCGGAGTAGAGTTGTCGCGCTGCTCGATATTCAGAAGCAGCACGTATCAGAGACTAGACGCGCGATGCACAAGATGCCTGGCCTCGGTGAGACTAGACAGATGACCTCGGTTTCGCTCGCATCCTCGTCGACAGAAGTAGATCCTGACCAGGTACGCTGGTTCGCCATGTGAGAAAGAAGCTTCCGCCAACTGCCCGAATGCCATACGCGTCCGCGATGCCGACTTGCCGGATGGGAGGTGCGGGTAGACAAGCAGGACTCTCCCAGATGCTGCCGGAACCCGGCACGGCGGGGTGCCGGAAGTTGAAGAATCTGAAGCGGAACAAGGGACCGGGCCCGGCGATACCGTCGGACTTTGCATCACGTGAACCAGATGCATTACCTCAGCACAACACTTGACGCTTCCGTTGATGACCAGCTCCAAGGCAGCTCAAAAATTACCTAAACTTAGGAAGGTTAGCGCGCAGGACCCCTGCACGGACCTGGCCAGCTTGACGGCACCTTTCGTCAGCCTCTCAGCCTGCTGAGCCAAACACCCAAAGCGTCGAACCTACCTTACCTTACCTTAGCATCTGGACACTCCAACCTTTGACACGATCAACACCACAGCAAACCCACGTCTCTCCATTTCCTCTCCACGAAACCACAACAAGGCAGACTTGTCATTCGACCTCCCATAACAGCAACTATCTGCCGACGTTCCACGACCGTTGCCGACATCAGTCCCCGACAACCGGAACACCACCAGCCCAATCCACCCCGCAGCACACATACACAACCACCACCAAAAATGGCGGACCGCAACCTCCAACAGGTCCTCACCCAGCTCAAGACCAAGGGCTCCTCCCTCCCCTACACCGAATCCTCCGCCCTCCTCTCCAAAGCAAAACTCCACCTCCTCCAGCTCAACGCCCTCACCCCCTCGAACCCCAAGACCTCCCCCCAGCTCCTCGCCCTCGCCCGCGAGACCTACGAGCTCGGCGCCCTCGCCTCCATCCGCGCAAAGAACCCAGACGCCTTCACCCGCTACGTCCAGCAGCTCCAGCCCTTCTACGAGCTCCCCTCCAACGTCCTCCCGCCCAACGTCCCCGAGCGCAACAAGGTCACCGGCCTCTACCTGCTCCTCCTGCTCACCCAGGGCCGCTACGCCGAATTCCACTCGGAGCTCGAGAGCCTGGCCAACCGCGAGGGCGGCGGCGACAGCAGCGCCGTCGAGGGCGACAAGTACCTGGGCTACCCCATCCGTCTCGAGAGGTGGTTGATGGAGGGCAGCTACGACCGCGTGTGGAACGCCCTCAAGAGCCGTGAGGTGCCTAGCGAGGAGTACGGTGTCTTCTCAGAGGTAATACCCCCCAGTCATTCATTCTCCTCGGCCCTGTGATGATCTACACAAGATATGTATATAGCAAAGGACCGTTGATGCTAACACTCTCATCTTCAAAAGATCCTCACCTTCCAAATCCGCTCCGAAATCGCCTCAAGCAGTGAGCGCGCATACCCAAGCCTGCCCATTAGCTCCGCAAAATCCCTCCTCTTCCTCGACTCCGAGGGCGACGTCATCTCCTTCGCCCAGGCGCGCGGTTGGATCCTGAAGGAGGGCCACATCTTCTTCCCCGACACCGCCGAGGGCGTCGCCGCCGAGGACGGCACCACCGAGAAGGAGATGAGCCAGATGGTGATAGAGAATGCGTTGGGATACGCCAGGGAATTGGAGACCATTGTGTAGACGTGGTTTGCAGAGAGGAAAGGGGCGTATGTTTTTGATGTATTAATATTCATGCGACTAGACAGACCATGAAAGAAGGAAAGCTCGGATACAGGAATCCAAGCCGGGCGTTAACGATCTGATCAAGTACGCATCCCAAATAGCGTGACTTGTATCCAATCTCGGCACTTCAGGTGAACGGCGACCTCTGGTAATGCACTGAGCACGCGGGGACATCGAACGTTCAATTACGCTGGCACATCAGAGGTCATGGATCAAATGATGACATATATTCGTCTCCCACAAAACTATTGCTAACAATCAAAAGCCCGGGGTTTTCATCAGACACTCCAGTCTGTCTACTGTAAACTTTTCCCAAGACCAATTCCCCCATCGGCCGAGCGTTACTGCACCAAATCATGCAGTCTTCACCCCATCATGGGTCGGCGACATCTATTATACTAGCTAGCTCTCTCTACGCGAAGAGCTTCAGGCCACTGCCGTGCTTGCCGACCTCGCACACCCCGCAGACCTTGCAAACGGTGCCCTTGTACTTGCTGTGGTACTTGGAGCCGTCAAAGGCGCACTCCTCGTAGGAAGTGCCGCTGTAAATGGGTGAGTGGCTGGCTGCGCAGATATCAAACTCGGCAAACTGGTCAAATTCGATCTCAATAGCGTCTGAGGGGTTACGCTCGCATTGGGCCTTGGCTTTCTTGGCCTGCAAAAGGTGTCAGTCTGGATATATTTGGAATAAAAGGTTGATACTCACGTTTTCAGTCAGCTTGCTGGAGCCGCCATTGGCAATAATGCGGTTGGCAAAGCTCAGTGCTGAACCGTAGTTCTTGTTTCTTATCGCCAATTGCATCGCGTTGTGCAGGGCCAGCTGGCGATGAGGAACCTCAATCTTGGGGATGGTAAAGTAGGCTGACAACTCAAGGTTGCGCTTGAGCTGCTCGCCAGTGGTGCCGAGCTTGCGGCGGCTGAGCTCAATCTCCATGGCCACGGCATATTCGCTGGCGGATGTGATGAGCTTCTTCGCCTCGGCGACCTCGCTTTCGCTTGAAACGGCGTTGATAAGGATGGCGTGGAGGATACCCTTGAAGATCTGAAGACCGTCCTCGAGCTTGTTGGTCTTCATCGAGTTGTAACCCTGTTGCAGATCGTTGGTCGCCAGGAACTCGAGATCCCTGGGCACGATCGGCAACACCTTTCTAGGGTCCGTCTCCTCAATCGTACGTCGGACGTAGTTGACCAACGGAGGAAGGTTTGCAGAGGCTGGAAGATACGTTTTTGATGCCTGGTAAACTTCGAGGAAGCGGGGCTTCAGCGGCGCAAAGTTGACTGCTCCCACTTGTCTGTTGAGGAGTTGCATTGCTGACTCGAATGAGCCACCGGCAACATGATCCACGGCCAGAGGAGAGTTGCGGGCCCAAAGATCGGCCTCACTGCTTCCAGCACCACCAGCGTCCGCACTGTCAACATTTACGAAGTCGCCCTCGATCTCGGGAACGACATCATCACCCAGATCCCAGCCTGCCGCATCCTCATCATCGTCGACGTCGATGAGGTTGCCATTCTTCTTCGCAGCGACATCCTCCTCGATGTCGTCATCGAAGCCGTTGGCAGCTGCGGGAGTATCCTCCAAAGACAGTCCTTCAACCTGGCCAAGCAGGGCCTTCTCGAAGACAGACTGGGAAGTGGCCTTGGTGGGCCAGTTTGCCTTGAATGTGGGGACGACAGGCTTAGGGGGCGTCAGAGCCTCCCCAATCGTAGGCGTCTCCAATTGGTCCTCGGTGAGACCAGTGGCCTCGAGAATAGCCTGGCACTCCTCCTCCAAGCCGTGGGACTTGGCGGTCATGTATGCCAACGGGTCTGTGTCTTGTTAGTCGAGATCTTACTAATGCTTACATTGTAACAAACTTACACAGGTCGATTTCCTTGAACATCTGGATCCTGTCCTCAACCTCACCGAGGTAGAGGGCGTTCTGGAAACGTGCAGTAAAGTCACCTCTGTGCTCGGCAATCTTGGCCATACGTGCCAGCTTAGAGTGGTCACCGGTGGACAAATACAGGAATGAAAGCTTGTCGAACTGCTTGAGCTTTTGGTAAGCCATCTCAACGACCTGGTGGTTTCCGTGAGCCAAGGCCTCGGCGCTCAACCTCTGCCAAAGCTTAGGACGATCAAGCTCCTTGGCAGTCTCGACAGCAACGTCCAGGTTTCCGCACTCGATTGCGAGCTCGAAGCGGGTTGCGGGGTCCTGCACGAATTGCAGAGCAATCTCGGGGTATCCCTTCTTCTGAAGGTAAGAGATGATGGATTGACCAACAAGACTGGAGTTCTGGATGATGTGGAGCATTTCCTCGTAGTTACGCTTGACGAGGGCCAACTTGAATCGGTATTCGGTGGGATCGACGTGGAGAACCTTGGGCTTGGCCGCTCTGTCAAGGCAGTAGACGTTACGGCCCTTGACACGGACCAGATAGACGGTCTGGTCAAGGGTGCGGACAATACCGTTGTCTCCATTCAGAAGCGTGTACTTGATGTGGTTGAGGGTCGAGTACAACAGAACACCAGCATCATCCCAGGTTGCGCTCTTGATTCGGATAGTCTCGTGCAATGTGCTGACCTGCTCGAGGGTCTTCGTCACGATAGTGACGTTGTGCTTGCTCAAAAGGGCCGCGTACAGCCCATCATTCGACCACACAACGTACTTGACACCATTGACAGCCAACTCGGCGACACTCTTCTTCTGCCCGATGTCGTAAAGATGCACAGCGGTGGGCGTAATGATGAGGAGGTTGCCGGTACCACCGAAGTAGATGTCGCTGGTTCCGACAGGAGGCTTGAAGGAACGGGTCGTGTTGTTGGAAAGATCCTTGATGTCGATTGTCTGGCTAGACGTGTTCAGGACAGCGAAACGGTTGCGGGCGACGAAGATGGCCGAGTTGCCCTGGCCGCGCTTCGACTCGGTGGGCTCAATGGCACCGG